GAGGATTAGCATATAAATGTCTTTGCCACCTGTAGGCCATCTTTCTTTATTAGAAGTGAGATCATTACATCTGAACCAAAGATTTGATTTTTTTATTAAACTTGTATAATGGCCATGATGTAATGTTTTCCCGTGATGACAAATCGCAGAACATATTCTATACGTTTTTTCATCAACTTTTAAAGATGTTGTTGACAAAGATATTAATGATACATTATGCATTTTTTCTTGTAATTCATTCCATAATTGTAATTGTATACACAAATATTGTCTTGTACTAGATACATTCATTACTTTCGAATGGTTTCCTGTGATTCTACAATTAATTTCAAGTATTGTTTCTTTGCTAAATTCATTAAATAATGAATTTAATGTAACTTTATTCTCAATAACTGCTAGAGGTAATATATAGTTGGGTGTTTTATTGATTCTAACATCATAGCAATTTAAACATGTTAATATCGATATTAATTCATGTTTTAGACAATTTTTTAAGTGAATCACTATGACAAAGAAGGGCATTGATAAATTCAGCTGCACCTTGTTGCTGAACATGATTAAAATGTTGTCCTAAAGATCGTCCTAAAGGAATACTGTTAAGTGGGTTCTGTTGTGACAAATATGATTTAGCTAATTTAGTCAAAGCAGAATGTTCTTCATTTTTTACTAATTGGTTTATTATGTAATGGCAGTTAAAAATCATTTGTAGTGATGCGTTTGCATAACATGATACTCCATCATAATTTGTAAAACCTGGTAATAGTCCACACGAAAATATAGTATTACCTACATCAGCAATGCAACATTCTAATGACATACCTTGACTTTTATGTATAGTTATACCATATGCTAGAGTTATTGTAAATTGATTTCTATAAATAAATGCACCGGGGAAAACCTCAAATTTACTTTTAACTCTGTCAATGTCAAATTCTTTGTCTTTTACTGTTATTTTTATTTTTATTGGAATTCCACTGAACCCATCATATATCACCTGTTTTACCATCCCGATAGCTCCATTGACTAATCTAAGTGTGACATCTATATTTCTTATAATCATAACTTTACAATTTAATTTAATTTAAATATTTTTTTCTAATCCTGCAGTACGTGAACTATCTGAATTTAATAATGCAAGTTTTTTTATAGCTTTACATTTTGATGCTGGTTTAGCATTTACAGAATCTTGTGCTTCAAGATTTATAATTTCTGTAGGTAGTAAATTTAAAAAGCCTTTATTAAATTCTTTACAATGATTTCTAGTTGGTAAAAGTACTAATGTTGATTCAGGCAAACTTGATATCAAATTATACAACTCTACAATTACAGAAATGTTATTATTATTATTATTATTGATTTTGAACTTAATTTTTCTTTTGTTAATTAATTCAATATCATCAGATGTTACTGCATTAATTCTTACCCTTTCTAAAATAGATGCATAAACGGAATCATTTTTTTGACGCATATTTTCGATTAATTCGTCGTAACTAAATAAATTTTGCCATATGTTTAACGTACCAAGTGAATGCGTGTACTTATCAATTTGATTTTTTTTCAAAGAAATGAAAGGAGATTCTTTATTCACTGGTGGAAGTTGTAGTAAGTCTCCAAACATTAATAAATGCATGCGTCCAAACCACCCATCATTTATATCTCCGGTATCAAATATTTCACATAATCTTAAACTAATATAAGTTAGTGTTATATTTGAAATCATGCTAATCTCATCTATTATAATTAATATCACATTTTCCATGGCTTGCCTAATTATTTTTAGAACATTATTTGATAATGGTCGATATGGTGGAGTATTTCCATGCTCTACTGGTAATTGTAATAACCTATGAACAGTCATACCTTGAATATTGAATGCAGAAATGCCAGTAGGTGCAGTTACAGCAACATCTTTTTTAATTTTAGTTTCTATGAAAGCTTTCACAGTTTTTATTAAATATGATTTCCCTGTTCCACCAACTCCAGACACAAAATGTCGCATTGGAGAATTATCGTGAGAAGTTAATTTACTTTTTACAAAGTTAAAGACCCTTTGTTGATCGGAATTCATGTTTGTCTTCATTTGTACTTTTAATCCTTAATTCTTCAATAACTTCTTGAACTTCTGATATTTGAAACCTATCATCAATGCTATCATCAATATGTGTTTTTTGTTTTTTTTCTAATAAATCCTCAATAATCGTGTTCATATCATCTTTTGATTTTCTTAGGTACTCTAATCGATCATGATAGTGTAATGCAGATTCAATTTTTTCTCTACAACTAATAAAAGCCTCGAAATATGACTTATGACACCCAATAATCTCAACTTCTTGGCGCCAAGGTTGAAATAGCATTAATAAAGAATGAAAATAGTTTTCTGGTTCTGATTGAATATTGTAAATTTTATGTTTTATAAGATAAGGTCGAGTTCTTTCTTTAATATAACCATAATTAGAATATTCATAATATTTTACATTTTTACTAACCGGTTTAGTTTTAACTATGTCATATAGTCGTACAAAGTCAAATAAACAAATTGATTCCATATCAGATGACCGATTAGGGTAATGCGTGTCGACTATTGAAGGGTAAAATATATCAATCTCATCATTGCCTAGTTTTTCGATATCAGCTTTAGATTTTAATCTTCTGTTTCTAATAATATTTATATCTAACCATTTAATAGTAGTTGATGGATCTGTACCAAACAATGGTATGCCAAGTAGAGTGTCACTTGCCTCTAGAGAACCACATTCTCGATTATTAAGTGATCTAAGAGCCAAATTTCATAATTTACTAGCAAGTGACTTAGTATTATTAATAACTTCAAACGATTGCGCTGAATTTGACTTTTCTGGTTTGGTTTGATATTTGGTTAAATTAATTAAATGTATTATATTAAATTAATATATTTATATTAATATATTATATATTATATTATATATTATATATTATATATTTATATTAATATAAATATGTTAAATATATTTAATATTCGGTCGGCACGACAACGCGAGAAGCGGCCGCCGTGATTCCAGATTTCAATATAATTTTTCATTAAAATGTTTCACGTTTCCTTTAATAACTTAATTTATAACTGTACGATTTTTATGATTTTTACAAAAGGATCATCTGCATGATTTTCCTCATGTTTTGCAATTTACTAGGTATAAATTGATTCAGTAGATAATTAATTATCTCATCTGACAAAAAACACCGAAACTTACACGGTTTTAATGGGAAACTGCTTCGAGATAATATACACTGTCGTGCCGCCGCTTTTATTTTTTTTACTTAGCTCGCTAGATATTTTTTACATATTATTTTCTATTTTTACTATATGGACACACAAGACTATATGAATGTTGACTACTTACCCGCTTTTTTTTTTTAGTATACCTACCCAGTTGAAACATTTACAGATATTGAATTGTAACGAAATTGATTTGAAAGGTTTGAAAATGTCTATGCTGATATTATAAAATGTATTGATATATACCTAATTATCTTAATTTTACCTACTATGATGGTATACGCCGATGAACTTCAAACGTACACAGACGTCTAGTGGTAAACGAGTCACGCGATGACCACGCTGACTATAATTCAGCTTCTGACGTACCTACATTATTTAAACACGCACAATAATTAAATGGTATAAAAATTTACTAAAAATTTGTCCAACATTGTCACAGTGACTACATCAAGCGATCATCATTGAAGGACCACCGTTTTTCTATTCGTACTATTCTTTATATAATATATATTATTGTTTAACCTAGTTGTTCGAACTCGGTATTTTTAAAACCACTCGATCTAATCTAGATCACATGATACGCCGGGCGGATGGTGCGTCAAAAAGTTCATTCCTTCCTCTGCCGTTACCGGTTGCCCGTTATCTACCGGCCGACCGTCAATTATAGATTACCGACCCGCTGATTATCGCCGGTCGTTGATCCAGTGATTATTCCTGGCCGGCCGTCGGTCGCGCGGCGCTATCGACGTCGGGCACTCACTCGTTTTTTGACGCCTTTTCTGAGCGGTTGAGCACGTCGCAGCTTTGGCGTCCCTCGCCGCTGTGCATTGTTTTGTTTTTGCCGCCGCACAGGACCTGATGGTCAAGTGAATGGTTCATGTCACGGTTGCCGTTGTTTTAAATTTTGTTTGCGTTAACGTCATAATTTAATCGGTTTGCCAGCTGGTCGACGGACGTGAAATTATCCGTATCATCGTGCTGTGCTCCCCGTGTGTTAAAGCTATAGGTACTCCGTGAATCTTTTCGCCGTCGTCCAACTTGTGAAGGACCCATCTATCATCACCGAATTGGAATGTGCCGCAAACCTGGTCGTTTTCTTTTTATTTATGTGTCAATCTGTTGTTGACTTATTATATTTGTATCGTCTTACCGTTATCGGAGGCTGTAGCCGACATCTATGTTAAGGTGTTCGGCTTAAGTATTGATTGTATTATACTATTATCTTATATTTTTGTTTAAATTTATTAATCGGTCCCGGGGTGCCCTATATAATTATTATACTCCAGTATTTGTATTTTTTATATATTTTATTATTTATTTATTACCTTTAGTAGCAACTGTATAAATATATGGGGTTGTGGTGTTACAAGCACTCATATAGTACTTAGACGTGTTTTTATGTTATTGTTGCATTGTTTATATTTGGGTAACCCAATCCGATCCTGTCGTAAACACATCGCGAGTCGTGGCAGCAAACTGCAAGTTCGTAAGAGCTGTCGCAGCGATTACACTATAGTTATATTTTGCTACTTAAGCTAAAAAATTACTGACTAAGATTCACTACAAAATATTGTTATCTATTATATGCATGTTTACTTAATCTTAGTAACAGTTTTACTATTTATAGTAATATTTATACTATTTATTATTACTATTTATAATGTTTTTATTTTTATTTTTATATTAGGTAAGTATAATACAACACTACATATTATTAAATAAGTAAAAAACTCTATAGATGACTATTATTATATATATTTACAATTCTTAATTACTTATACAATGATATTATAAGACCTTATTATAATTTTATTTTATTTTTTTTATTGATCTTTATAGCTTCGGCGACATGGGCCATTAGCTTTATACATAATTTACATTATACTATTACTTAAAATTTACATTTTTTAGGTGACAATTTAATTACAATAATAAGGGGAAGGGCTGTTGACTATATTTATTGATTATTCTAATTAAATGTATTTATCTATTTTGGTTGTCCTGAGGAATGAYATGATTTTTTCGGGTTGACAGTCGGGTCCGATTGATTCGTATAWGTTGGTYGRTATATYTAKTWTTTCTCTTTCTTCTTCATTTGATCGGCATTCTGTCATCAAGTGTTTTACTGAGAGGGTTACTCCGCATGTGGTACATTCTGACGGTGGTTGGTTCTTCATGAGGTGTCCATGTGTGAGTCCGATTCTGAGTCGGTTTATTATTATTTCGGGTTTTCTTGAAATTTTGTATTTCGGCCAGAGATTTATGTTATGTTTTATTTCACGTAATTTCAGTGATTTTGCCATATATTTTGAGTGATTATTTTGATGTGTTTTTTGTGTCTAAAATTGTGTTACTTTTTTATTTGGGAGTTTCGGATTCTTTTGCGTGATGATCGACTAATTCATTTCCGTGAATTATTATAATTTATTGAATATTTTAATCATAAAAAAAAAAATATTTTACTTTGTCAAATATTTAAGATTTTTCATGAAGTTGCATAATATTACTTTTTTTTCGTAAATTATTAATATATAGTGTATCTTAGATAAATGCCTATAATTGATACATTTTACAATATCGTGAGTATAAAATATTTTTAGATTATAATTTGATGTAATAATAATAATTTGTGTCTGTCAACGTYATTGTCAAGGGATTGGTATTTGTACTTAAATAATACAATATTATATACAAATAACTTACTATAATAATGAAATTCTTTTAATTTATTTAAGATTATAAAATAATTTATATCAAAAGATTTTATTTTAATTTTTATTTATTTTTCTTTGTTCAATTATTATTGAATCTTTTATATTTGATTTGTTTTTAAACCCAATGAAGTTTCAGTATTTATTCAAAAGATGGTGCTGCTAGTATTGTTATTAAGGTAATGTGAATAAGTGTGTTTTATAAATAATTTAAACCGTTTTTGGAACTAATTATTTTCTGTGTTAATTATTTCTATTATAGCTTCGATTATCATACCTAATAAAATGTAATAACACCTATTTAAAGATTTTATAAGGCTATGAAGGACAAAAATGTTGAGATATACAATTCTGTGTTTGAATTATATACAATATTGTTATTGATCTATATTTATCTACATTTAGGAATTTTAAATCTGATTTTAATTTATAAAAATGTTATTTTATTAATTGTGCTTATATTATTTTTTAAACAGTGTCAAATACCTGTATGGAATTAAAACAATCAATTGTCAAGCAAAACTGTATTGCGGAAGACTAGATGGTTCAAATTTCTATAAAGGTACATTCAGATATAATTCGACTACTTTTTATTAGTAGATAATAATTATAATATAATCCTCATGCATATATAATATTATTGATTCAAATATAACATGATTTCAAACTAATTAAGATTCTATCAAAATTAAAAAAAAACTTCAACATATTAATTATTGCATACTTATCCAAATATAAATATTTTTGAACAAATAATCTGGTTTCCGGTTCGGTTACACCATACCTTATGTATAATTTGACAGACATTTATAAATAATGTTTACCTGGTTAATAATAATGTTARCGTTATATACGCTTTTAAGTTAATATTTAGTACAATCGTTTACCATGTTTAGATACATGCATTTTGTCATTCAGAAGTAATTTTAAATTAATTTTGAGGTTTTTAACAACAAGTTTTTTGGATTATCTATCAGTAAGGTATTAAATCTCTACGTTACAAATTTAAAATTAATATCATATAAGTAAATAATATTATTTATTAGCGTTCAATTATTTTGACATGAACGTAAAYGCATATTATTATTTATATAATATATAAACTGGAAACATCATGTTACCTGATTTATTGTTTATATTTTTATGGAAAATAAATTTGAAATAAATAGTAGGTGTGTATAAATGTATACGTGTGGTAAAAGTTGTRCGAGTGATGTATAATGATACATATTATTATTAATTGTAAACAGTTTATAAACACGTAATTTTTTAAAACTGCAGCCGAAATTTACCTCCTAATATCAACATCAAAATGTAATGTTCACAATGAAATGATGAACCAAAAAAAAATCGCGATTTCGATTATATCAATTCAAATTATATGTATAGAGTTAATTACCTTCAACAGGCTGTTTTTTTTTTTACTCAAATGTAATTTCAGCATGTTATACATTAACACCTTGGACATAATCTGCCGAAGTATAGGTTTATCAGCTATGCGTATGTTATGTGGAGGGTGTGTCAATTCTACCTTCAAAAAGAATTCTGTTTGTAATTTGTTTTGTTAAAAAAAAAATATTTTGTTTCGAAGCACAATTTTCATTATTCATTATTATTTATCACTATGCAAATATTTTTCTTCAATATAGTTATTGTTCACGTAATACAGCGTAYACTTAATGTAACAAAACGGAAACCTGAAAATACTCGATGAACGTACTAAAAACCATATGCGAACAATTATTTCGTTTATATATTCAAATCGAGTAGTAGATGTTGTAAAAATGTTTTTTTTTCTAAAAAAAAAAAAATTTTAAAAGCTACCAGTGCAACATAACTTGGATATTTCAATAAACACAATTGCAATCGACTATAGTGTCACGGGAAAACAACACACCTTTATAATGGTACACATCCGAATGATTTTAACGTTATCCATTGCGATTTTGGCGGTCGACGTGAGTTTCCATATATGAATATAATAAACCATGTCACTATGATGCAATATTTGTTGAGTTTGGATACCTACCACGGGTGTGGTATACAGTTTGAATTTTAATTTAATGTCYAGAATGTATATGTATATTTTTTACGTTTCTGGCAGAAATTTGAATTCTTTTCGGATTCTTTGTGTGCTGTCCATTAATTTATCGACCATACTAACCGGAAACCACAAAAATGGATATTTGGACATCAGCGTTCATAAGCTGTAAAAAAAAATCAAAGAAAAATAACAAAACTCGGATTAACGATACTTGGCCATAATTTATTCTTTTTTAGATATTATTACGGCTGGTACCGAATTGGTTCCCGTTTGAAAAAGGTATTTTATTAAGGTAAGCCGAATTGGTTCCCGTTTAATTACGCACATTTTCCTTCTCAATYGTACAGGCTTAAGACTTTYAACTTAAAAGTAGGCTTGGTTAAAAATATTCTTCAATATTAGAAGGTAACTTGGGAATTGTTCTTAATTTGGTGGCATTCAAATTTTTAAGGACTCTGTTAATATCATTTTGAAGTAGTGACTCACTATGATTGTTCGAAGCTATCTCCTTGCGTATTATTTTAGATTTAGATGATCGCTCTGTAATAAGTTTGTCACATTTTCTTTTTAGTGAATTTTTCAATTTTGGTTGCACAAGTTTACCATCGCCTTCACTTTCATAGTTATGTGTTAATATTTCTTTACAAAAAAAATCTTCGTTTAATTTAACGTATGCTTTAAATTTTCGTTTTGTACATATCCACCTCTATATGTTATCATCTGATAGGTTCTTTTGGAATCCAAACTTGTAATTGTCAATAATCAACAACTTAGWTCCCTTTTCACTAAACATAAACTCCATAATTATGAAAAATTAAAATTAAAAAATATAAATAACAAATTTATACGATGTGTTGTTCGAGACTGCACCTCAGTCCTCACTGTGCAGTGTACACTAACATTATTGTCATTCGTACATATGATATAGACGATATACTATAATACTATACACTATACTATAAACTATACAGCGATAAAAGTACATAATATAATCTCAATCGTTATCTTAATTGATCGGGGTAGGTATCACCGATAATTTGATAAACTTCCAATATATAAATATATTGCCATCTTATTGTATATTATACTATAGATTATAGAGTGTAGCCGTGTAGGTACATWTATATTTCACACTGTGTAATTTATATTTTGTAACAATTATTAAAAATTAAAAAATACATGTACACAAACGGGAACCAATTCGGTTCAACTTAATAAAATACCTTTTTTGAACGGGAACCAATTCGGCTCAACTTAATATAATACCTTTTTTAAACGGGAACCAATTCGGTTACTCCCATTATTACGGTAACTAAGCTACCTGTATAAAATTGTCATCTATCATACCCATACGAATGTGTACCTATTCGTAATCTGTAAATCTTGTTCACTATATAATATTCATTAATGTGACGGATTCCCGACACATATAGTTTATAGCTGAACACATCGATTTTGGATTTCTTCCTTTCTGTGTAGTATCATTTATATTTTACGGATATTGAAAATTGTTTATTTGAAAAATATGATTTCCACCAAAAATAACTTTCAAAGATCACATGAATTCAGCTAGTTTTTATGCCCGATTATATAGACGCATTAATTAATCCGTGGTGTCTTCTTATTTTTGATTACCCATAATTTTTTTTCGTATAGAATGTGTTAGTAGAAGCTGGAAAAGGAACGAGAAATCGGGAAGCGAATTTGTCAATTCGTGCTGCAGAACACAAGGAAACGTTAAGATCAAAACAAGATAAGTTAGAAGAAAAATTTGGTTCAATGACACAACCGGTCAAGGAACAATTGGCCGAAATTAGTAACATTATAATCGACCATATCTTGAAACATAAATCATTCGAAAAGTATTTGAAAAATGTGTTTTCGATATTACAAAAATATGCAGGTAAATATATAATATGCTATTATATATCTTACGAGTTAAAATATATTATTTTAAAATACTCTATAGTATATTATAAACTTTATAACATGGAATTCAACGTTTATAACAGAAAAATTAAAATCGGGTAACTGTGGTCAAATATTCGTAAAATTTGATAGAGCACCTGCTAGACAAATGCCCTTTAAAATTTTACCATAATTTAAAAGCTCAGGACTATGATAAATATATTTCAATTTAAATCATACAGTCGAATCAAAATATTCATAATGCAAAAATCCGAAATATAAGTTAAGAAGATCATAACATGTATTCAAAAAATTGAAACAAACTCAGCTTAACCCCAACTAAAAAAAATACAGTAAAATTTAAAAGTGGGACTAATTACATTTTAACTTAGATTTAGTAGGTGGTAATACCTAAATATTTAACAACACCAATCAAACAGAAGGAACTATTCAATTGCAAAACACTAAATGCAATATAGTTTAAAATAAAAATATTTTTATGATACCTAAATATTAGGATTAAGACATACCTAACTAATATTATAACAAAGTAGTTATTTAAGTATAATATTTTAWAATACCATGTATAATAATTGAGGTGAAAAATCTACGATTTTATTTTTAGTTTTTAAAGAAACGTACAATTTACCACATATTTATGAATGATTTAATATTGTTACCCTAATTTAACTTAATTGTATAATAGTTGTTAGAATTAAAGAAATACATTAGTATGTACAATGTTTATTTAACATATTTTTAGTTTACAATATTATTGGGATTAGTTTTCTCCTGGAATGCATATTGTCAGGCTTAATTTTTTAACTTYTTTGAAATTAACTTGAGTAYCTAGTTGAATATCTAATAWGTTAAGAAAGGATAAATATAACCAAATAATTAAAYAGTAAAAAATATGTTCACATAATTAATTAATTTTGTAGTATAYTCATTTATCAAAATWCTATACTGGAAACAATATTTTTATTTGTCATCGTTCTCATTTGAAAATTTAATGGGAGTTAGGAAACTATGTGATTTCATTATTTATCTAGTATATTTTACGAAATGGTTCTGGTGGTTGAGCCAAAACGGGCAATTTCACCTTGCCACCAGAGCAGCATAAGCCGGGGGTTTCCGATCGAAACTTCAATGCATTGCAATGCTGGCATTCGATAGACAATGAACCGATATCAACACAGCAAAGATCTTTGTATGCGACTGTRGAATCGTATTCGAAAGCAGCGCGATTCAAGGCTACATTTATTTTGTACTTCTTCTTCTGCTATTACCATGTTGTCAAATTTGGGGTGGTGTTTGTAAGGTGCAAACCTGTGTTATATGAGCCCGTCTCAAAACATTTGCTTCTGCAAGTTCCTCTTGCGTTTGATTACAACGGACATTCTCACAAATTATTGCATTACGTGTACATCGTCCAATGTTTGATCTTCTAATAGGAGGCATCAGTCAAGCAAAATATTCTCTTCAAAAAATAACAAAGTCGTTTTTGATTAATTATAGAAAATACTCAATAAATAATAAATTAAAAATAAAAATGCTCGTGCATGTTATAAGAAATGCAGGTTTGAATTATGTGATTGCTAATTAATAAAATAAAATAAAATTGTAGTCACGCAGTTTTTCTGGTAACGCCAACAACAGAAAATGGAAAATGAAGTCGTATTATTCACTTAACAAATTCCAAACCCATAATGAACAATAATGAACACAAAACTATAAAAACCATAGATTATACTGTAGTAGCCAATACATTGAGCTGATGTATTGTCATAAAAATGTCTACGTCTACCATGTAGTAATTAAAGACAACGGTATCGAGTTCAAATCCCAGACATCAATAAATAGTTTTTGCACTTTTCTACTTATTCGGTTGACTTTTTAAAAATGTTAACCTCTTTCATGAGAACCTTCTCCTCGCAATTACGAACAGTTAAAAAAAATTTGAACCAAATCGGCCCAGCTGTTCTTAATTGATGAATTGTTATACATTTTTGTCTCCATTTATAAATATATATAGATATAGATAATATAGGCACAATTGTTTTTAATTTTTTATGAACTTGATACTTTTTTTTTATTGACAAAAGTGGAACTAAAACCTTCAGCAGAATGTCGGGTATAACAGAAAAAAATTTCAGCCTAATCTGTTCAATAGTTTTCTCGGTTAACGCGGTCGTAGAAAAACCCTTACAATTTTATATAATAGTATAGCCGACCCGTCACGACTTCGCCCGTGATTGGTTGTTTATTTATTGACAAGTCCGTAATATAAAACGTAGAAATAAACTAAACTATTACTAACAACTAAACTTTAATGAAATACGTTGGTTAGGTATCTAAGGTACCTACACAGTGACAGTGATCACATAGACTTAAAGAAAACGGTAACCAAAATATGTGGGTTGGTAGGGAAAACATTTTTCAGTCGACGGCTTTTAGGGAAAC